CTGAGAAAACCGGAGAAAACCGTGCGCCAAGCTACGCGGCTGTCACTTGAACACCAACCTCGCTGACATATGGAACCCCGAGTGCCTCAAGTCCTCCGCGCTCAGCTGGTGCCCATCTATCGTGACCACTGTCCCTATGACAAGAGGAACATCCGACCGAAGCTTCATGAAAGTGAGGTCCTGGTTTGCCATTAAATCAATCCAAACAAACGTGGCGACCTGGGACAAACGGCCTGTGACCAGCCTGATACGAGACGAAACGACAAGAGTGGTTGTCCAGACAGTTGAACGTGTTCCCACGATCCACCTGACACCAAAATTGCCATTGGCATTGCCATTGCCATAAGCATTACCATGACCACTCAGAGGGTGCATGGCATCAACCTCCCACAGGTCACAGGGTGAACGGCATCAAGGTCCCGCAGCTCACAGGTCAACAAGGGTGAATGGCATCAAGCTCTGATTTCACAGGGTGCATAGCTCTTACAGGTCAAAGGGTGAATGGCATTTCCATCACCATTGCGTTGAGCATTACCATTGCCTTCAGCATTGCCACAGGTCAAGGGTGAATGGCCATTACCCGTACCACTCCATTAGCATTACCATTGCTATTCCCATCAGCATCAAGCTCCCACAGGTCACAAAGTGAATGGAATTTCGGCATTACCATTCCCAAAATCATGGTGAATGGCATCAAGGTCCCACAGCTCACAGGGTGCATGGCATCCCATCACCTTTGCCATTACCACAGGTCAACGGTGAATGGCATCAAGCTCCCACAGGTCACAGGGTGCATAGCTCCCATAGGTCAAAAGGTGAATTGTATTACCATCACCATTGCCATTAGCAGTATCATCACCATCTGCATTACCATTGCCACAGGTCAAGAGTGAATGACATCAAGCTCCCACAGGTCAAGGGAGAATGGTTGAAACAAAAGAAGGCTCCAAACTTCTGTGGGAAGCATCCAGGACCGATTACAATACCACACCCAATGCTAAACCTATTGCAAATCAACAGTCCAAAAACACTAAAGAATGCAACAAAACACTGGAAACCACACACCGGCATAGCCTCCCGCTCTGCAGAAGCACCCGGCAAGAACACAATCTGAGTCTTGTACCCTATAATACCCTGTATTATGTATACACACACATATATATATATATAAGTAGATTTCGTTGTATTTGATCCCCTTTTTGTTTTATTCGATCCATCAACTAATTTGTATTAAGTATAAGCTGGGGCCCCATCGAATGAAACAAAAAGGGGATCACTACGAGATCAGGACGCATGCCCAGAAGTTCACTCGCACTTTTCTTTGCCATGTGCTCGGCTCACATGTTTTGTACCAGCTTGGCCATGTCTTGACCATGCATCTGCAAAATCAGATCAGCTCTTCAGATCTAAACCAATCTCAACACCTCATTGGCCATCATCTTGCGCTCTTGCCGTAAGTAATATAGCGGTTTGCCTGAGGTCACAGTGTTTCATATAGGATTAATTCTAGGATTCTAGGATGATAATAGTATAGTAGGAACAAAGTTCACACTGCAGTTACTGGCTTTCAAACTGTGTTTTTATGCTTAGTTCTTTTTGAACGCTTGCCCAGGTGCGAGGACGAATGTCCTGGCACCACCGGATTTCAAGGAATAAGTGCAAGAGCAAACAACATTAAGAAAATAGGTCCCAAAGTCCTGGTCAGCTTTCATGACCGCCACCCTCCAGTATCTCACCAAAGTGCGCGATGCAGCAAGTGCCTGTGAAGACAACAAAGTGAACCTTGGACCTAATCGTTCAGTTCAGCAAGAACAGCATCATCATCCCAATGCACTGCACCTTTTGTATTTAATACGCTATCCAATCCTGCCTCGGCCGGAAAAGCACCTGCGATGGTTGTGAACTTCAGATTGGCGACGCTTGGATTGTAGCTGAAGACGGGGACAATGGGATCAGGCTTCACGATGAAGTAGTCGTGTTCTCAGGAAAAAACATGCTTCACATACACATCATACACCCATGGATGCATCACCGTACCCGGTATAAAGTATGACCCCGTGTACACTATCATTCCTATAGTAATTACATCCATCCTTTATACACTTGAACCTTGTTTAAACTATCATCATCCCTTTAGTACATCCATCCATTTTATATTGAACATGTTTTCATCAAGAGATCATTTCAACTTCCCTTCCTTCATCTCCATTTGCTGGTGGACGTTCGCACTTGTGACCATGCAAGGTCATGTCGACTTGGCCTTCCTCTTCCAGTTCGACCATGAGATTGCGCAAGGTGCAAGGCTCAGCATCTGTTGAAGACTTTGAGCTCTCCGAAGCGATTTCCAAAACCACTTTGCATAGGTCTGATGTCCAGCGACACGGAATTGCAAATGCGAGCGGGTCACCTGACCAACAAAGTGTTTTTACATGTCTTTACTGTACATACTGGAAGGCTGTTGATTGCATGGTGGACACACTGATGAAATTCTCAATGGACCAGAACGCTAGAATGCATCCTTTTCCCCTGGCTCTTGAACACCATTGTGTCCCTAGATGGCTGCTGGTAAGCCAGCAGCATGTCCCCTCAAAATGATCCAGAAGCAATCTGGAAGTTGGCCGCCTATGTGTGATACGCTAGCACGATGACCAACTGTGAAAAAGCAACCAAGAGCAAGTTTTTGTAACATAACAGGTTTTAAACAAGAGTTGATACAACTTACAATGACCAACCGAAGTCTTGCTTGCACACACACTATGAGCTGGTCATGTCAAGCACCCTATCCTATTACGCAGTCGCAGTCTTCCTGCGACGCTTTGTCTCTGAAGTCTTTCTCTCACAGTCCTTCGTGAATCGCCGACGAGAGAGCTCGCTGGTGGACATGTTGCGCAAGCTGTTCATACGCTGCGGGTGCTTCTCCCACCTGAATCATTCCCGAGTTGATTTGCAATATCCTTACCACTAGCCTTAGCTCATTATACTAAAGTCTTACGATGTCATACAGTCATGAAGTATAGTGACTTGATGTGCCCTGTGTGTGTGAGATTAAACTTGACTTTTCAAAATGCAAGTGAGCCACTCTGCACGGGCCATCTTCAAGATATCTTTAGGAGGCATGTCCGGATTCTCTCGTTTGATCTTTTTCTGTGCTTCGTGAACAACTTCCCAATAAAGTGCCCTCATGGTCTGGGCCCCGGAAAGTGCTCCCATCTCTTCATTTTTTTCCTCTTCCTCAGTCACTTCTGACTCTTTCACAGGCTTCCTTGGTCGAGCGGTCCTTTGGTCCTTCTTTGATTTCGCAGGTTTCGGTGAATCTCCAAGCTTGAGAGTCTCAGCATCTACACTGTTGACTTCTTCCTCCTCCTCCTCCGCTCCCTCATCCTCGTCTTCCGACAGAGCCTCCTCAGAATCCAAGATGTCATCATCGTCAGCTGGATGCTCCTGCAAGCAGAATGCGATATGTAGCTTGTGCCAACCAATTGGTTCCATCCCAGGTGTAGATAAGGCTATATAGCACAATAATCATTCATCATTGGAACCCTTCACCTGCCCTCTATATGCATTTTATAGTATACAGAGCAAGACTGATGGTACTGTAAGAATCTGGTTTCGGCATCCTACAATATTGTTTCGACAGCTTTGGAGGTGGGCTTCGTTTTGTTTAATTTAATGTTAGAGTGGTAGGTGAAAATCAAATTAAGTTGAACCTCTGAACCTTTGCCTAATAACGAGTTTGTGGCCGACTCTCAGGTGCTGGCCTTCTTCGGTGAAGCCTTGGCCTTGCTTTTGGCCTTGCTTTTGGCCTTGCTTTTGGCCACGCTTTTGGCCTTGGCCTTGGCCTTTCCAGCAGCCTGGTGCCAAAGATTTGGGTCAGGTTTAGAAGACCTTGGACAGTACCCTTACTAACCCACATATTAGGTAACATATGGTAACATGTTGGTGGTGGACAAAAAGAAACACATACTAATTGGCTTGTTTCAGAGCACAGTCTTTTAGTACTAGACACTGTGGTCTCACATTGTGATAGTTGCTAGTTAGAAGCCCGGCCTTCTTAGTCTTTTTCTTTTCATCAATCACCTGGAGTTCAAGTGCCTTACGAAGTGCTGTCTTTGATTTTGGATCTTTTGGATCTTTTGGATCTTGTGGGTCTTGTGGGTCTTTCGCATCTTTCACTTTGGCAGCCGCAGCTTGCTTCACCTTGTTGACTTTGCTCGTCTTGCCAGCGTCTTCCAAGGCACCTTTCACCGTTGTTTGCAGCTCAGCCACTTGATTTGGATTCAGTGGAGTCCGGGATCGTTGGTTCGCATTGGGCCTGAGCTCCTTCAACCCAGCAGTGGACGAAGTACCAAGCGGGCTGGCATTTGCCTCACGGAGGCACAGACTCATGGTAGTCACTGGTGTGTTTGTGCAAGTCTTACTACCGGGTGTTTGTCAATGATGTGTTGAGTGCCTGCGACTACTGTATATGATTGGTCTGGCATGTAGCAAAGTTGTGGTGCTCTGAGCTTCGAGCACCACCTCTTGGAGTTGGAGTGTCCAAAGCACCAGGAGATTGTTCCAACATCGCGTTCAGGTCCTGGTCGTAGGGTTGGGATGGTTGGGCAATGGTTGGGACAATAAAAGGGCTTCAACAAGTTGGTAGGACTTGAACCTAACAATACAAGGTTGTAGACAAATTATACGAATACAAGATGTGAGCAAGCCACTTTACCAGGTGGCTGAGTCTTTGAGGTGCAAAAAAAAATCCTTCAAACAATTGGAAATTAAGGACCACTTCAAACCCTTCAGGAGGTCCTGCTTCAAACCATGCTGAGCCAAGATTTCAGCCAGCGATGTCATTGGCCAAAATGAAAGTGACCGGTCAAGTCTAAGAAACCTATGAGCGACCTGACACCTTTTCAGATTGCAAATGGCTGAGGTGAAGTAATGCAATGCTTTCAAGGGATGTGTTTGAAGCACTGTGAAGAGCAAACCCTGAAACTGGTTCATGCCAGCTGTATTCAGACTTCAACTTCACTAATTGGCGTGCCTGTGCCACTGCCAACACCTTCACGTTGAAGTTTTGCCACCTTGTCTGCCTTGAGGAATGTTGATTTCCCATGACCAATTTCAAACTCTGCGAGGGAGAGCTCCAAATCATCTTGGTGACATACCTGAGAGCAGGAAAGATCAGCAAAGGTACCTGTAATGGGAGTAAACCATTGACTGGACGTTGGATGCCATTCATTTGGATAAGCCACACCCATCCCAAATCCTAAACCACCAAACTCCAAAGTTGTGTTGAACACAGTTGTTGGTGCCAGGAACAGTTTGTACTTCTGTGATGCCACAATGTCTGTGGTGCTTCCATCTCGTCCCTGGGCTTGGACAAGCATCAACGTTGTTCCAGGTAGTCGTCCTGGACATTTGGCCTCCAGAATGTACTTGTCCATCAAAGACTGCACATCATTTGGCTCCGAGGTCCATTCAGGCAGTTCCTCTTCTTTCTCTTCAGCAGGCACAATCTGGGTTTCTTCGGCCTCCACGGTTGCCATGTTCCCACAGAACCTGAGTGAGTTGACCAGGGCCGGGACAGAATGTGTGCATGTGTGCGAATGGACTGATTAGGAGATACTGAGGTTCCAGCATACCCAATACTTATATGTTTTACCATTACTTAAAGCATCCCCAACACCATTCACTACTCACAAAAAAATATGACGCAATTGTTGTCTCCAGGAACTTGGTGTCGAAATCGGTGATCAAACGCTTCCAGTCAGCAGCGTGAACCACATCAGATAGGTGTCGAGACCTCACCTCGTTGGTCAATGTGACCTTGAACCTACCCTTTCTTGAGTCATCCTTGGTGACCTCAGCCAACTTCAGGGTCACAGTCTCCAAAGCGATTTCAGCAAGCGGAGGTGGAGTTTGGTCATACTTCCTGATGTCGTCACCCATTTCTTCCAGTCCTACCACGGTGCACTCCCTTAACAAAGATAGTAATCATTCCTCAGCCTTTAACCATTGACACCAAACCACAAACAGGGTCTGCCGACGCACTATATAGTAATGAGCCATAATGAAACACTTGCTCCTTTACCTTGAGTTTTCCAACCAACTATCCTCCAACAAGACGAATGCGCACTGCTTCTCACTGAATGTTGTGTAGTTCAAGTTGGTCGACAGTGACAAGGTGCGCAAGTCACGCTGTGAACGTGGGCTCCATTTCAACGCGACCTTCTCCAGCCACCCGTCATATGGGGACAGGTTCAGGATGCCAACCACTCTTCCAACATCAGCCCCGGATAAGAGGCTCTGGAGGACGGCGGTGGGCATTGCAGGCCCCGCCAGCAATTGTGCAGTCTCTTGGTTGCTTGAGAGCGCCCTGTCAAACATGGGATCAAGCATGGGAACATTGGGTATTTAGGTCAAACTTGAATACTTTGTATAAAAATCAATTCTTCAATTTGGTGTTGGTTAGACATCCACAAAACATTTAGCTTACGAGGCTCGTTTTTACTTTTTTGGGCGTCGCTTGTTGGACTTAAACGATCGACCCAGCCGCACCTGCTTCCTTCTGAAGCATGCAATACCACCTCTGCAGTCGGGACTTCATATTGGCTCTCTGGTGTCCATGGAAGCAACTCGCGGACACACCTGAGTTTGCCAAGTGCATTAGTCCCCAGGGTTGGTTCACCATCATCCACTGATTAAACAGTAATATGGTGGTTCACCAAAGTATCGTAGTGCCTACTTCACTGGGCCACGAACTAGCGACTCATTAAATTAGGAATCATGGAAGTGAAGGAGTTTTGAGTACCTGAAACAAGGCCTGAAACAAGCTTTCAACCCAAAACCACCAAGACAAATCAGTTACTGTAAGCAAGACCAAAATGACTTGTCTTGCATCATTTGGGATGTCAACCACACATTTGCTGTAGCACCAGATTGGTAGACCATCCAGGCTGGAAAGTTCAGCTGGACCTTCTTGGTTGCTAGAGGGTTTTCACAGCGCAATAGGACAGCTTCAGCCTCCAGGCTCTTTGCGTCCAGCTTATTTTCCACCCTCCTGAAGGGATGCAAAACATGTATTCTAGCCCAACTATAATGACTCTACATAGAACTTCATCCAAACAACGGGAAACCCATTGACATAACATAAGACTCTAAGACCAGAGTCACCCATGCCCACACTCAGTCCTCAGTTCGTCTCTCAGTCCACCTCTTCGCTCGGACTGGGCATGAGGTGCAATGACGAAGCCGATGGATTTCTCCGGAAGTGCTGCGAGCGCCTTTGACAGCATGGTGATGGAGTTGTTCAGTTCATCCTTGCTGACCACACCAGCTTTCATATAGTCGATCCATACCACAAGAGCGCCATATCTTGCTGCAAAGATGCTACGAACTCAGGGGTCCAAGAAAATGTGATTGAACTTTGTCAAGGCGCCAAGAAAAGGAGATTGAACATGATTTAAGTTTACATGGTTTAAGTTTATGTTAGGGACGCTTGAGAATGGGTCAAAGGAAAGGACATGTATGAAACCTTGTTTCTCCAGAAAGAAAGATATGGGAAATATAACTTTGAAATGAAGGTTTGATATTGTATAGAATTGTTCTTTGCCCCTGCCTTCAAAATCTCATCGCTCAAGTCAGTGATAGGTCCCCCAACGTGACGGCAGTTCTTCCTCATGTGCTGCATCACCAAATTGGAACCCATTTGGTTTTGCTGCTTTAGATGCGTCACTTTTGCTAGACGATTGGCCCTCTCGTTTTTCATTTCCTTTTGATAAAGGGCTGCAATCTGCGTGGCGTCCCTTGCCAGCGACAATGCATCTGCCTCGAACTGCATTTTGGACTGCTGAAGTTGAAGCGCTTCAATTTTGCAATCCGCTTTGGATAGGGTCTCCTGTGAAGCCGCCGGATCCACCTTTTTTGGAAGGTTCTCGAACCACATACTCACCTCTTCTGGGCTGAAGAGAGCATCTTTGCTTTCCAAAAGGGGCTTGAGGTCGTCATGGAAATCCCTCAGATGGACTGAGGGGGAAAAGCAATCCCCAGTACTATTGGAGAAGGGTTCTGCTCAAAAACCAAATCCAGCGACAAACCAACCAAAGATAACATAATATCACTAGGATTGAGTCCAAACCAAGACACCCCTCAATGAACCTGCTCCTGACCATATCGGTGGTAGTCTTCTTGAACAGGACGAGATTGTCAGAGGTTCTGGCTGACCTCATTTTCTCTAAGACATAGCCACCCAGGCAGCAAATGTCAGCCTCCTGCTGCCACTCCGTGGTGCTCATTCGCAAAATCTGGGCCTTTCCAGCTTTTCTCTTTGCCAAGTCAAAAGAGAAAAGGACACGTTGAAGGAACAGCTGTTGCTTCCCCTCTGTCATGATGAGTACATCATACCAGATACCCTCGACTCCTCGAGGCACACCGCTGAGAAGCCAGCGCGACTGGAGCAAGGTCTCCCGGCTGAAGGCTGAAGGGGGGTGGAGTCGAGGCCATGGTGAGGCCATGGTGTTTGGTGGTTTCAGAACCAAACCTTTTGAATCCTTTTGACACTATCTAGAGCTGAACTGTTCCTAACTAGATGTGGAAAGCTTCTTGAACTCCACACTCCAGCACCTGAATTGTCGAACTTGTTCATGTGCAAATGCTTCACCATCATGGCCCAACACTCATTGGACACTCCAACCTCCATAGGAGCGATTGAGAATTGTTTACGTGTGTTGGTGTTAAATGGTGTTAAAACAAGTTGAACACATTGTAAAGGTTTATAAAGCACATGTCATCAAGTTCCCGCCCACCTTGAATCCGAACATGAGAAGCGATGCAGCTGCATCTACCTGATGCTGTGTCGAACTCTTCGCTAATCCATAGCCATTGTATTCTGCTATAGCTTCATCCCAAGCTGCCCTGTAGTTTGCCACGAAGCCGTCCTGTTATAGTAGGAAACCCGCAATGACCCCAAGAGTGATGGAAATTCAAAACACGTTACAACGAAGTGAAATCCCGCTAGACGATGGGTTATTGTGCTTTTGATGCCTTTTGATTTGTTTGCCTCGAAGTTTCCAGGTGCAGTCAGTGCATATTATGTCATCAAACATATAGTAGCTTGAGAAGTACATGTCCTTCATGATTTGGTCAGCGCGATTGTGGAACATCATGCATAGTTGCAGAATCGACTTCTTCTGCCGCTCAGCCTGCTGCTGACTGATTTGCATTCGCCGCCATATATAGTCCTGCTCGCAAACTTGGGGTACGTATTGGCAAGCTGGAGTCAACGCTGTGCTCAACCACCTTAGTTTCAAAGATCGTGGCTGTGTGAGAAGAGCTGGAGGATGTTAAAGGTATTATATACTTGGAGAGAATTCAAGATAGGGTGCTCTTCACAGGATTTCACAGGTACAATTCTGAAATCAGGACATGCCGCACCAGGCTCTATAGAACAATTCCACTCCAAAGCTTAAGGGCTCAACCCTTAGCTTAAAGGCTTGTGTTGCTAGCAGAGCCACCTTTAAAGGACCAGATCTTTCCAAACACTTGTGGTTATCAGGACACACCAGTGCAAACTGTGACTAGGTCCCACGACTAAGTTGGGAACATAGATGCGTCACCTTTGAGACTTTCAAGTACCTGAAATCTCAAAGGCGACGTTCTCACTGAGAACATCACCTTTGACATGGTGAGGGCTGGGGTCCTGATGATGTCAAAGGCGACGTTTTCATTGAAACCATCACCTTTGGCCCTGGGTGTGGCCTCCAAAGGCGACGTTTTCAGCCCAAGGGTTAGCCCAAAGGCGACGTTTTCACTGAAAGCATCACCTAGGTAGATTTAGGGGTTTGCCCATGTTGGCCCCAAAGGCGACGTTCTCACTGAGAACATCACCTTTGAGATTTTGGGAACATGGAACCTCCAAAGGCGACCCTTTTATGCTTGGGTCCTTCGTTTTAGTTTAGTTTAGTCTTCCATCACCTGGACCCTCCCCCAGAAATTACCTGATGGATGCAGTTGAGTGACCCCCGAAATTCTTCGAGTTCTTCCTCGCTTAGACCATTCTTCAAATGGATGAAGGTGTAGGCGATAGTGTAGAAAAGGATTGATATCCTTCCGCACCCCTTGGCAACTTCCAAGCAGGCATAGTCCATGGGTTTGCCCCGGATAGTGGAATCAATTGGCTTGATCTCAATCGATTCCCAGGCTTGGTAGCCAATGGACCAAATGCTGCTAGCATGGCTCAGCCAATCCTGATAGCACGGGAGCCCATCAAAGGCTTTCTTGGGCTTGAAAGCCAGGAGTGGTACTTGGAACGTGGCTGTGGAACAGTCCTGGCACGAATGCTTCTGATGGTTTGCTACGACTTAACACAACTGGAGATTAAATAGTTCAAACACGTTCTAAACCCATACACTTGTTTGTCACCGTTGTCCGGCATGATCACTTCATCAGGGCGAGTAATCTTTGTCTTCAAGATGTCCTCAATCCAGTCAGACACCGGGCCGTACATGTCTCCTTGCCATTTGTCCAAAAGCCATTGCACCGGGTGCTCTTCCTTCATAGGATCAAACAGCCTCAGATAGCAGCTGAGACATGTTGCGCCCACTGGAGTTTACAGTGGTCACCTTAGATGGTGATCCTTTGCATTGTCGTGTTGAAACCTTGTTAAATACTTCCGAAGGAACTGAGCGCCCATCAACATTTTTTGCGCCCATGGCCTGAGGTTGAGTTTTGGAGCCTTCCCCGATGGCGGCGTGCTTGTCGAGGAGGCACGCTTACCCATGGTTGAGGCCCCACCTAGCTCAACCTGCCACCCAAAAAGGCTGAAGAAGGTCGGGATTTATATAGAAGGGTGACACTTGGTGTGAGAAGTTGCACTGTTCCAAACATGTTCAGCACAATGTATATACCTGTTGCTGAAAGTTCCAAAGGTCCTCCTATTTTATTGCAGTGAATTGTCTTCAACGAATTGGTCATCCATGTTTTAGATGACATCACTTCAAAGGCTCCATCATCATGATGGCGCTTAGCAAAAAGGCCCCAACACATGCCAAGTTCATGGCGTTGCCGGCCATGCGGACCTTCTGACAGTCAGTCGTCCTGGACATGTCCAAGCATGGTGCTCCAGAGATCTTTGAAAATTTAGGATTGGTTGCTAAGAGGTGGCTGGAGAGCATCTCATTGGCTGAGAGGTAGCGTCGCTCAACCTCCCACGGGGCATGGCAATTCGAATCAAAACATAGATCATGTGTTCACGCCCTATCGTTTTGACGCAATGTCTTTATGCTGGCCTTTGACCAAAGGCGACCAGAGTTTGTGGTAAGGGTAGGCAAAGCACCATCTGCTGTCTCTGTCCTTCCGCGTCCATTGCAAACCAGCTGCGCTAGGTCAGCTACCATCCAATCCTTCTGAAGCACTTCATAGTCGTGCAGGTTCTTAGCCTCAGAGGGAGAAGAGGGAGAGAATAATCACCTGGTCTAGCCAGGTGTTGCAAGCAAGTGTTTAAGACATATTTCAACTTAGCAGCATAGCACGGTGCCAAACCAGAGGGTGCCATCTTCTGGAAAAAGAAATCATTAGCCGACATCCTTGGCAAAGCCTTCAACCCTTCAATGATTGAAGTCAGATCAAAGGCAGGGTCTACCCTCACTGAACTCTTCTTCCAGCAGATTCCATAGACACGAGGGCGGCTTGTTCCCAACCCAAAGATCCGAGGGTCAATGGTCATGGCAAAGCACCCCCACCCTGGTCCCAGCTCATGTTTGATGATCTCTTCCATTCGATACTCTGGCACGTTTTCGATGATGAGCACATCAGCTTGGGTGGGAACTGTTTCATAGTATTTCCGATGGACAATGTATTTCTCAGATGCCACACCTTCCCCTGTGCCCATCTTTGAGAAAGGTTGGCACGGTGGTCCTGACGCTGGAGGCTGTGCTTCGACGAGGCATGCTGGGTGAATTGTCGATAGCAAACATGTCAATAAACAGAAGAACTGCCTGGCCTGCCACAGAGATCCTCAATCCTTGGATTGTTCCACAGTTTGGTTAATAAGTGAAGTGTAACATACGACTTCCATGAACAAACAGTTCAATGGTGGTGCTGAAAAGACTCTTCCATGATGGCCCTTCACAATGCATGGGCACTTTTTGCCATGTGTCACGCAATGCAAGTGAGTCTTCTTGGGACCATATTCCATCACATCAGGGAACACGCATGTCCCGTACGTTCGACTCAAGACTTCTTGACAATGTCGTTCACGTTCACATGCAAAGAGCAGCCTTGCTCCTTGGACAGGCCCGATGAGGTTCTTGGCCGCGAACTCCAGGCATTTGACAGCCTACAGATGACGGTGGGAAAGAACGTTCGAAGTGGAAAGGGTTGGGATTTCTGAGCTGAGTGTTTAAAGTTTACGACAAATGAGGATGGGACTGCTTCTGCGCATCCGATGCCAGAAAAGCATGTGGTCATGTCCCATTGCCATCTTCGAAGTTTTTGTGCCACTACACTGCGCCCGAACTTCCCACAAAGTCGGTCCAGGAAAGCACCAGCCCATTTGAATGAACTGTAAATGCTTCGAGGTCCCTTTGGATGGGTTGCATTTGGCTTCTCGATCTTGGTCTTGGGGTAGCACTTCCTAGACATGAGTATGTATGAGGAAGAATGGCTCTGAGGAAATTGAAAGGAAAAATAATAGTATTGCGCAGTCCTGTTTTGTGCTTTGGGTCTACCAATAGCGCCAATAGTCTTCTTCTTGGTGAAATTCTTTTGGACTCGCCTGCGCGAGTCAGTGGAAGACACCAGCATTAACATTGGATACTTTATGATACTTTGCCAAGCGAAGCATGGAAGCCTGTCAGGTGATGCCAAAGCAACCTTCAATGCCTCTCTGAGCTTCATGGTCCTGGGCTGGTGTGTCCGTTTGGGGTAAGCCCGGCCAGTGAATGTTCTCCACACAACATACTTGCTGGTATGTTGCTTCCAAGGATCAAGGCTTACCCCTCGAGTTTGCCCGCACAAAATGATCCGAATGCTGAGATCACAGAACAGTACATTGATGCATTATCATTGTGTCCAAACCTTTTAAAACATACAAGTGTTCTTTGAGGTTGAAGGCACTTACATCCTTTTTTGGTCACTGTGGTTGAAGCTGCAACAGGGCTAAGAAACCTAGTTGCTAGTTCACACCTGGACTAGACAAACATCGTGCATCTACTGTGATTCAAGCTTTGATGGGATACCTTCGAGCATTCCCAACCCCTTGAAAATAATTCCAGCCAGTTTGTACATTTTGGAAACTGCTGGTGTATTTGGCATGTCAGCCATCAGTCGCACTTCCTTGATAACATCCTCAGCGCAAGTCTCACGGAAGCGTGCCTCAGCAGGAGGTGGA